TCGAAAAATCAGAAAATTAACATCACCGGATTCCTTGTCTCGCCACGAGTCTATACATACCAAAACTCCCAAATCCGAGTTCAAATAACCCATCAAATCATAATTGTTTGGTTTCAAATTTCAAGCCCTAGTTCTTGATTTGTAGGCTTATATTTCATGAATCGCTAGGTGGAATTCACAATAAAAATGATTTCTAAGTCCAATAAACTTACCTTAAGTCGTTCCCCTTGAATCCCTCTATAATCTCCACCAAGAAGCTCTCAAAATGATCAACCATCGAGGAAAAATGACCCAAAATCGCGGATGAAGTATTTTATAAACTCACTGCCCAGAATTTTTCGAAAGTACTGTTCACGCGTGCGGATACTGTTCACGCGCGTGGTCAGTGTTTACCCGCACGGTTACTGTTCACGCGAGGTTACTGTTCACGCTGCTAAAAAAAATACAGCAGCAGCCAAAGAAATTGCAGCACTTTTCTTTTTACTAAAATGACTCTAACTCCATCATACAACTCAAAATTCGATGATTATTGTTCCTCTGAGTCACAAATAATGATACGAACATAGTACTTCAATCAAAACTCAATTCGGAGCTCGTTTGCTCAGTACGATATCCATTTCGCTCGTTAAACAATTAACTCATGTTTCGTGTCAAAAACCCAATCGCGACTTGATGAAATTAGACCAAACTTTCCAGATCACTCCTATAATTCATTATTTAAATTCTGGAAATCTTGAAATAAAATTTTGATCTCTAGAACTAAAAATGAACCTTTGGATCATTACATGCTTATTCTCAAACGACAAAAATCTTCTAAAACTCTTCCAAAACTTATCCGAGCCTCATGGGACCCCAACCAAACATGCCAACATAATTCATAATTTTATTCAAACCTCTTCCAATCATCAAAACACCTCAAACAACATTAAATTACCCAAAACTCATTGAATTCAAGCCTAATTTCTTACAAACTTCCGAAATACGCATTTGATAAAAAACCCGACCAAAACACCTCCGAATGATCTAAAATTTTGCACACACATCCAAAATCACCTAACAAAGCTACTGCAACTCTCGGAATTCCATTCCGACCCCCGTATCAAAATCTCTTATGCCAACCGGAATTCGCCAAAATACTAACTTTGCCAATTCAAGCCTTATTCTACTCCGGACCTCCAAAATAAATTCCGATCACACTCCTAAGACACATATCCCCCGAAGCTAACCGAATCACCGAAAATCACATCCGAGCCCTCTAACTCAATAGTCAACATCCGATTGACTTTTTCCAAAACAAGCCTTCCTTAAAGAGACTAAGTGTCTCATTTCCTATCAAAGCCAATCCGATTTAACTCTAACACCGAATACCGATAACGAAACATGAAGAAGCATAAAAATGGGGGAAACGGGGCAGTAACTCATGAGACGACGGGCCGGGTCATCACAATAAGATGCTGATGTATAGTACTATCTGTAAAGTTAATAAAAATATAGATAGAGCAATAGCAGAATTGATTATTACTGGATTTACTAGTCAACTTAAAGGTTGGTGGGATAATTATCTCACCAAAGACCAGCGCTTTCAAATAATGCATGCAACCAAGACTAAAGATAATAAGATTGTTCAAAACTCAGTCTATTCTTTAGTCATGAATATCATTGAACACTTTTCTGGAAGATGGTCTGATAATAGTGAGACCATTAGAACAATGCTCCAGAATTTGAGGTGTAAAACGCTCACATCTTTTAGATGGTATAAAGATGTTTTCTTATCCAGAGTGATGGAATTACCAGAGAGTAATAGTACTCATTGGAAGTCTAAGTTCATGGATGGACTCCTGCCCTTATTTGCTGAAAGGATTCGAAAAGTCCTTAGAAGCACTGGAATGAGTATTGATTATAATAATTACTCATATGGTAAACTATTTAGTGTATGCACTTAGGAAGGTTTAGCTCTGTGTAATGAGATCAAGCTAAACCAACAAATTAAGAAATATCGTCTTACTGAGAGACAACAACCAGGTGAATTCTGTGAAAAATTCGTCATTGATATACCATCCAAAAGAAAGAAATCCCATAAAAAGGATTTCAAAAAGTAGAAGGGTTCGCCGGAAAAACGGCATGAAAAAACCCAAAGAAGAAAGGCTTTTCATAAAGCCAGAAAGGGTTTTATAAAATCTAAAAATCCTCAGGCCTGTTATAAATGTAGAAGAGTAGGCCATTATGCAAAAGATTGCAAGATCAAAGATAAGATCAAAGAACTGGATTTAGGTGATCATATCAAAGATTCTTTATGTAAGATTCTTTTGAATTCTTCTCCAAAAATATCTGATACTGATGAAGGATCTTCATCAACAAGTGAAGGCCTGAGGGTCCTTCATGAAGAAAGTTATACTTCAACTTCTGAAGAAGAGCAAGATTCCTGTAATAAGGGACAATGCTCAAATCATTGTTGTAATACTGACGATGAACTGTTTAATATCTACTCCCAATTTACGGATTTAAAGATTAATGTTTTGTCTAATGACAATTTGATTTATTTACTAAGGGTTATTAAAGACCCTGAATTAAGGTCCCAGCTAATAGATAAAATTCCTACGAATCCAGAGGTAGGAACAGAGGTGGAAGAAATTCCATCTAAAAAAGGACCTTACACCATGTCTGAAATCAGAAAGATGGTGAAAAATAAGTCCCTGCCTGAAAGGCTTACTACTGTCCAAGATTTAAGTGCTGAGATAAGTTATCTCAAGAAAAAAATCTTGGAATTAAAAGCTTCAAATGTAGCTTTAGATGAAAGAATTTTCAAATTAGAAAATTCTGGGGTAATTAATACAGATCCCAGCATTAAGATTACTGAAATGGATAATATTGCGAGTACTTCAGAAGAAAATACTGCTAGTACTTTATTGGCAGTAATGGATTTTTAGAAAAATTACAATATTTTATCACTCAAAAGTTTTTAATAAAAATAACTCTTTTAATTGATTACAATTTCAAAAAAGTGTTTGTTGCTCTATTTGATAGTGGAGCAGATTTAAATTGTGTAAAAGAAGGAGTTATACCCTCCAAAAATTTTCATAAAACCACTCACCGTTTAAAAAATGCTAGTTGTGGTGCAATGAGTATTTCATACAAATTACCTAAAGCTTATATTTGCCAACAAGACACATGTATTTCTGAGAGTTTTGTTTTGGTAAAAGACATTCAACAAGAAGTAATACTTGGTGTCCCATTTTCTATCAAATTAATGCCCTTTTTATATTGGGATACAAAAAGTTTCACTGGTACCTATAATGGTAAGAGTATCACTTTTGAGTTTATAACTGAGCCAGTCCAAAGATTTTTAAATGAGATTATTTCTAATAATATTTCTTCAAAAGTCAATCAAATTGAGTTTTTGAAAAATGAAATTTGTTCCATTACAATTGGGCAGGATTTAAAAAATCCTAAGTTAGCAGAAAAAATCAATTTTCTCAAAAACCAATTTTCTACTTCTATTTGCGGTGACCATCCGAATCAATTTTAGAGTAGGAAAAAGCATATTATAAGTCTTCCATATTTAGAAGACTTTTCTTAGGATAATATCCCTACGAAGGCTCGACCTTGTCAAATGAACTCTGAGTATTTGGAGTTATGCAAAAAGGAAATTGATTCCTTACAGCAAAAAGATTTAATTAGACCCTCAAGATCTAAATGGTCTTGTACTACTTTTTATGTAAATAAGCACGCTGAGCAGGAACGAGGAGTTCCTAGACTAGTAATAAATTATAAACCCCTTAATAAGGTGTTAAAATAGATTAGATATCCTATCCCCAATAAAAATGATTTACTGGATAGACTTCATGATGCCAATATGTTTTCAAAATTTGATTTAAAATCGGGTTATTGGCAGATTCAGATATCTGAATCAGATAGATATAAAACTACTTTTAATGTGCCAATGGGCCAATATGAATGGAATGTTATGCCCTTTGGTTTGAAAAATGCTCCCTCAAATTTTCAAAAATTATGAATGATATTTTCATTCCTTATACGGATTTTATAATAGTTTATATTGATGATATTCTAGTATTTTCAAAAAATCTAGAAGCTCATTTCAAACATTTGGACTTATTCAAAAAGATTATTATTGTAAATGGTTTAGTTATATCAAAACAAAAAACGATGATTTTCCAAACTTTTATAAGATGTTTGGGACATATTATTGAGAAAGGGAGGATTATTCCAATAAATAGAAGTATTGAATTTGCTTCTAAATTCCCTGATATAATTACGGATAAAACCCAGCTCCAGAGATTTCTAGGAAGTTTAAATTACATTTCTGCTTTTATAAAGGACCTTGCTAAAGATATTGCTATTCTTTATGAAAGATTAAAGAAGAACCCCAAAGCATGGACTGACAGTCATACTGATGCAGTTAAGAGAATTAAACAAAAGGTTAATAACCTTCCATGTCTAACTCTCGCCAATCCTACTTGGGCAAACATTGTGGAAACTGATGCCTCTGATATTCGTTATGGAGGAATATTAAAACAATGTTATCCAATAGATAAACAAGAATATCTTGTTCAGTTTTATTCTGGTAAATGGAACAATTCCCAGAAAAATTATGCGACTGTAGCTAAAGAAATTCTTGCTATGGTCAAATGTGTTATGAAATTTCAAACTGATTTATATAATCAAAAATTTCTTATTAAGACTGACTGTCAAGCGACAAAGTTTATATTTAATAAAGATTTTAAACATGATATTTCTAAACAAATGTTTGCAAGGTGGCAAGCTTTATTAGCCCCTTTTGATTTTGAGATAATATATAAAAAAGGGTCTGATAATACCCTTCCTGACTTTCTTATAAGAGAATATTTGAACTCATAGTTCTTTATTTTATGTTACAAATTATGAGGCCTACATATAGACATCCTTGAGGAAGAGGAAGAGGAAGGGCATCTGCCAAAGGCAGAGGGAATAATATTCTTGCCCAAATGGGAAGCCAAACATTAATTGTTGCTAATAGCAGGAGGTAATACGGATCATCCTTTATATAAAGAATTTATGGATTTTATACAATCCAAGAAAGATGAGGGTACATCATCTAAGGTACCAACTTATTCCTCAGTTATATCAGAGGATAGCAATGAAAACCTTGAGGTTTATAACCGAAAGGATACAAAAGAGTTAATAATTCTTTTAGAACAATCCGACCTTAAATGGAAAGATAACCCATGGCAATTAATGACCAGATACTTTGATATAGTGTCATACGCTACTCCTGCTTATAAATACAGGATGCACTATGAGATTATACTCTCAACGACAGGATCAGCTGAAATTCAACATTTTTATCCTGCCAATACCAAGAAAATTTATAGTTTTTCAAAAATTATTATCAAAAAGGTTATACCTGCAGATGAATGGGGAATGAGTACCCTTAAGTATCGAGAATATACTCATCTTGATTAGAAAGTCTCAGTTAAATTTAAATATTGGGACTATGTTGAAAGTTTTAATAAAACTTTCCTCTATGAGAATCCTAATAGGAAACACTCATGGTTCATTAAGCTATGTTCTAATATAAACAGTCAGCAAATTCCAAATTGGTTCTTTAGATGGTGGAAGTCATATGGTCCATCATTAGAAATACTTCCTCCTCTATTTAAGAGTTTATATACTTAATGGGTAAATATATCTCCCAAGATTAGTTCATTACAAAAAGATAATATCTTTTACAATGGAATTGCCGCTATGTATTTTTTCATAGAATTTTCTATCCCTTGGATTATGAAATGGGATGTAGAAGTTGGTTATACCAACGAAGGAGTTCCTAGCCTCCAAAGAATTGTTTATAACAAATTCTGGACAAAGTTAGTTCAAACAAACCAGCAGGGAAAATTATTTGGTGAAGAATTAATTCAACAAATTAAAGACAAAATTAATGTGTATGTCAAACAAGAAAGGAAAGATATCAATGAAGGAGAAATCAGCCCTTTCCAATAGGTTACCAAAAAGCTCCAAATGAAGAAGGGAGCCATATCCAAAAAAGAAATCATCGCTTCATACTTCGAGGAAATAAAGAAGGATCTTGCAAAAAATTTTGAAGCAAGAATAGGAGATGATATATCTATGACCTCACTAGCAACTACTTTAGATGAATGAGTATGTGTAGCAGGAGAAGAACAGAGTACTTCTGATATAGAAGTAAACATGGAAGAAATTGAAGATTTTCTTGCAAAATTGAAGGAAATCACAGAAGAATCTTCTGTAAGGATAAACGACAAAGGGAAAGATAAGGCATGAAGGTTAAGAAGACCCCATAAAATAAATTATTAGGGTAATAAAAATAACTTTAATAAAGTAAAGGGTCCCTCCATTATTGAAGGGAATCTGCTTTTATAAAGTAATCTGTCCGTTTGTAATTATAAACTTTATCCTTTTATCTTGTCGGCCACACTTGTAATTATTTTGTCGGCCAATTCTACTTTTTAGTTTTGTTTGTTTGTAGATTGATCCATTATATAAGGATCATTTTTCATTCTCTAGAGGCAGGCGTTAGCCAAAGCATTAGCTCTGCCTTCTCTCTCCACTTGTAAAGAACTTTTCTGTAATATTTCCTATTTTAAAATAAAATCAAAAAAAGGTTGCTTGGCCACAACTAAAGGTCTCTAGTCTGGTACTGTTCTTCTCCTTCCCTCTTCGATTATTGCAAGTACTGTTAGCCTAAATGATAGGCTAAACAAGTAAGTGTTAAATTTAGTTTTTGAAGGTTATTTACTATACATGCTTGGTAGTTAGGAGTTTACTGTGTCAACCTGATGGGGTTTTAGGTTAAGAACTATATAGATCAGGCAGTTACCAATCTTGACAGTAGACCTTGGTTAGGCCAACCTAACCGGTGGGGCTCGTAAACCCATTTAGGTAGGTAGCCGTTGAAGGGTTGTGAGGAGCCTCGTGGTTTAAGGTTTACTGTAGAGTTTAGTAGTTGGCCGGGAATGGTGTTCTTGTAATTCATTTCCTGAGCCCTATTCGGAAGCGATCCTGTGAGGAGCCTCGTGGTTTAAGGTTTACTGTAGAGTTTAGTAGCTGGCCAGCACTGGTGTTATAACGACCCGATAGGTCATTTTGAACTTTTGCACTTTGATCGCTAGTTCCCAGGCATGACTTGCCTCGTGTAATGTATTATGACTGATGTAGATTGTTGGTTTTGGTTTTCAGGAAAAATCAGAATGAATTTGAAGGAACAGTCTTAGTTGAAAGCTTTGAATTTGAAAGTTTGACTAAGAGTTGACTTATTTGTATATGAGTTCGGATCTGAAATTTTATGATTTGGCGAGCTTCGTTGGGTGATTTATGACTTAGGAGCGCGATCGGAATGCATTTTGGAAGTCCGTGGAAGAATTTGGCTTGAATTGACAAAGTTAATATTTTGACGAATTCCGGTTGATTGGTGAGATTTTGATCCGAGGGTCAGAATGGAATTCCGAGAGGTTCTGCAGCTTCATTATGTCATTTTGTGATGTGTGTGCAAAATTTCAGATCAATTGGACGTCGTTTGTTCGACTTTTTGATCGAATTCAGATTTCGGAAGTTTTGAAATTCTTAGGCTTGAATCCGAGGGTGATTTGATATTTTGATGTTGTTTTGAGTGTTCCGAAGGTTGAAACAAGTTTGAATTATGTTATGGGGTGTGTTGTCATATTTGGTCGGGGTCCCATGAGGCTTAGATATGTTTTGGAAGAGTTTTTGGAAGATTTTGCCGTTTGAGCATAAGCATGTAATGATCCAAAGGTCCATTTTTAGTTCTAGAGATCAAAATTTGATTTCGAGACTTCCGGAATTTTGATAATGAATTATAGGACTGATCTGGAAAGTTTGGTCTAATTTCATCAAGTCGCGATTGAGTTTTTGACACGAAACATGAGTTATTTGTTTAAAGAGCGAAATGGGTACTAAACTTAGCAAATGAGCTCCGAATTGAGTTTCGACTAAAGGGCTATGTTCGTATTATTATTTGTGACTCATAGGAATAAGAATCATCGAATTCCGAGTTCGTATGATGGAGTTAGAGCCTTTTTAGTGAAAAGAAAAGCTGCTGCAATTTTCTGGGCAGTTTTTGCATTTTTCGCACGTGCGAACAATAACCGCACCTGCGTGAATAGTATCCGTGTACAATACCATGTACAGTAAACATGAACAGTACACGTGTACAGTACACGTGTACAGTACATATGAACAGTAGCCCGTATACAGTACCCATAAATAGTACCGTCAATAGTACCCATAAACAGTAAAATGCGTGAACAGTAACCACGGAAATTCTGGACAGAATGTTATTTCTGAAAATGGGACTCCATTTTTACCAAATTGGAGCTCGGGAAGAGGTGATTTTCGGGAGATTTTCAGAGAAAAAAATGGGGTAAGTGTTCTTAACTTAATTTTGGTTAGATTACCCGAATCTATTACTAGTTTTGACATTTAATTGGTGATTTTAGTTGGGAAAATCTTGAAAACCCTCTTGGTTTAATTTGAAGATTTGAGGGGGTCGAGTTGATGTCGGATTTTAGTAAAATTGGTATGGTTGGACTCGTGGTTGGATCAGGTTTCATATTCCGTAATTTTTGTCGGGTTCCGAGACGTGGGCCCCACGGGCGAATTTTGAGTGCAATTTCAGATTTTAATGGAAAATGTAGAATTTCATATGGAATTAATGCCTATAATTTTTATTAACAGAATCGAATTATTGTGGCTAGATTTGAGGCATTCGGAGGTCGATTTGAGAGACAAAGGCATCGCGAGCTAGAGATTAGCCGGTTCGAGGTGAGTAATGATTGTAAATGATGTCCTGAGGGTTTGAAACCCCAGATTTGCACATCGTAGTGCTATATTGAGGTGAGACACGGGCTAGATGATGAGTGCGAGGTCTTTTACTACCGGGGATTGTGATTTGGTCCATCCCGATTGATGATTTTACCGCATATTTAATAGAAACTTATTTGTTATCATCATGATTTGGGTTGATTGCCATACTTGGGCTTCGTGCCAATTATTTGAATCCTTTGCGAATTTTTATCACTATTTCCTCACTGTTTTGACTTATATTTAAACTTAGTCCTGTTGATAATTATTGTTTTACAAACTCAGTCGATTTTATGCAGATTTGAAAACTCAAATGATATTTCTAAATGGTATTTTGGGCTGAGAACTACTGTTTTACAAATGCCCGAGGGGCTTATGATGATTTCCGGACTGAGTGAGGTCGAAGGCCATATGTGAGGATATGTTGAGTGATATGTGGCCGAGGGCTTGAGATACTATTTATGCCACGAGGTGGCTTGAGTGATGTGAGGCCGAGGGCATGAGATACTATTTATGCCACGAGGTGGCTTGAGTGATGTGAGGCTGAGTGATATGAGGCAGAGGGCCCGAGATACTTTATATGCCATGCGGTGGCTTGGATGATGTGAGGATATGCTGAGTGATGATGCCACGAGGTGGCTTGATATAACGCTTGGGCCGTAAGGGGCCCCTCCGGAGTCTGCACACCCACAGTAAGCATGGGTACCCATTGTTCTAAGTGATTGATACTATGCCCGAGGGGCTGATATGAGTGATTGTGAGGTAGTCCGAGGGGCTGATACTATTCTGAGAGTGAGCCCGAGGGGCTGTTATTGATATGATATTGAGACCGAGGGGCTGTTACTGTTCTGATATTGAGCCTGAAGGGCTGTTATTGTTCTAATATTGAGCCTGAGGGGCTGGCACTGTTCTGATATTGAGCCCGAGGGGCTGGTTCTGTTGATA